CACACACACACACACACACACACACACACTCAACCAGGCTGCTCTGTGAGGGGTGGGGCACACACCCCTATGGCACACCTTACCCATCTTCACGACGCCTGCTCCTATAGCATCCTGGCCTCCCTCAGAGACCCGGGCCAGAACCCCAGGGCAGTCTCACGGTGCTCCTGCATAGACTGGCCGCCCCGGCTGGAGCTGGGCTTCCCATTCTCATAGCCCTCCTTCATCCCTGCAGCCGCGTCTGTCCCACCAGCACCTGCTAAAGTCAGGCCCCACCAGGCCCACAGATGATGCTGCCTACACAGCTCTGTCCTGAAGCCTCCCTCTCACAGCTCAGTCTGTTAAAGGGAGGATGGATGCATGGATGGTGGATAGATGGGTGGGTGATGGATAGATGGGCAAGTGATGGATGGATGATGGATGGATGGATGGTGGATAGTGGATGGATTCATGGTTAGATGGGTGGGTGATGGATGGATGCATATGTGGGTAGACGGTGGGTGGGTGAATGTATGGATGGTGGATGGATAGGTGGATGGATTGATGGATGGATGGTGGGTAAGTGGATGGGTGGTAGATGGTGCGCAATTGGATGCATGGATGGTGGGTGGATGGATGGATGGATGGATGGATGGATGGATGGATGGATGGATGGAAGGAAGGATTGGACAAGAAGTTGGTGGCTGGTGGATGATAGATGGATTGGTGGAAAGACGAACGGTCAGTGGGTGGGGGAATGATGGGTGAGGGGGAGGCAGTCAAGCCTGATTCAGACCCTGGTCCCCTCCTGGGCTGGAACCATGCTGAGGCACAGCGCATCCAGACACAAGAACTCAGGGCCGTTTTTCCATTTCAGAATCTCCTCCTATCCTCCCGATACCACGAAGGACTGGTCTTCCATGAGGCTTTCTCAGGGCTCTACCCACAAGGACAGGCAGGCGGCCCCCACCACCATCCTGCTCCACAAGTCGCGGAGCAGCCAGGCTGCCCTGGTACCCCAGGAGCACAAGCTGTTCATGGAGGAAGCCTACAATGCAGGTAACTGTGGGGACTGGGGCTGGAGGCCACAGGGGTCAAGGTCAGGAAGGTCCCATCATGCCTCTCCGACCAGGCTGTCGCAGTGGAAGGTTCCCTCTGGGGATGCCAAAGGAGTAGGGCTCTTTCATCTCAGAAGCTCAGCTTGGGCCTGGCCCCTGCCTGGGGACGCTTTGAAAGCCCCCTCGTCTGAGGAACCAGTCCTGACCTCCGTCAGGGTCCATGCTTCTTGTGTGTGTGCCCATAGCCTTTTTACACACCCACCCAATGACCCAAAGCCCGCCAACACTTGGCTACAGGCTCCTTGGGCCAGAATGAGCCTGACTCCACCTTCATTCCATAACCACGGCCCAGGCCCACACAGAATGCACGTCACTGAGTGGAGAGTAGAGTGTTGACGTAATGAAACAAGGAAAGGAGGAGGTGGCAGATACCTGAATTAGTGATTGGTGAATGGATGTATGGACAGATAGATTGGTGGACAAACCTGCATAAGAATGAACATGTGGTAGATGGACAGATGGTGCGTGGATAAGTGGATGGATGGGCAGGCATATGGAAAAACAGATTGATTCACAATCATCCTACGGATGAATATGCTGGTGAACAGGCATATGAACAAATGGGTGGGTGAGTGGGAGTATGGGTGGATGAATGGATGGGTGTACAGGTATGTAGATAGATTGATGGATAAACACAAATGGATGGACATGTGGGTGCAGAGACAGGTGGGTGATGGATACATGGATGGATGGATACATGGATGGATGGATGGATGGATGAATGGATGGATGGATGGATGGATGGATGGATGGATGGATGGATGGATACATGGATGAAAGATGGTTGGATCTATGCAGGATGGTAATAGGGGTGACTGGACAGGAAGAACAGATTTATCTGCTGCAGTTATTTCTTCTAGAAGAATCAATACCAGACTAGTCCCAAGGAGTTGGAGACTGACAAAGTCCAAGTCTCCCAAGACGCTACTCTGCTCCACTTGCCCCCACGCCTCTCTCGACCGACCACATTCCCTCACGACCCTGGATTCTGAAATCCGCTGCCATGTCCCACAGAAACTCACAAACTCTCAGGAATCGTCCTGTTGTTTAGGCCCAAATCTGAGGGTCAGGTCGAGGTGGGCCAGATGCAGGGTCAGGAGCCAGAAGCCAAAAATGTCCAAAAGTCATGCCAATTCATCTTGTTTCTCTGAAAGCTCAGTCAGGGAACAGGGTCTGGCTTTCCGGGGGAGGCGTGTCAGCACGGTAAGGTGGTGCCATGCCAGGAAAACAAAGGATGGTGCCCAAGTCACACCCTCACCTCGGGAGAGTCAGCGCTGCCCCCAAGGAAACCCAGGGTGTGCTGGGGGCATGCCCTATACTCAGGCCGGGACCTTCAAGATGCCCCCCCAAGGAAACACCGGGACAACTGAGTTCACACCCCCGACTCAAGTGCAAACACCGCATGGAGTTGATGCCAACTCGTCATGACCCTCTGGGACAGGACAGAACTGCCCCTGTGGGTTTCTGAGACTGTCACTGTTTCCGGGAGTAGGAAGCCCCACCTTTCTCCTAAAGACCAGATGGTGGTTTCGAACCACTGACCTTGTGGATCACAGCCCAATGCGTAACCCCTAGGCCACCAGCTCAAGCCCTAGTCCCACCCTATTCCTGCCCATTAGTATAGTAAAAAATGCCGCCCCCCACCAAGGGGAGAGAGCCACAGGCAAGCCGAGTCCAGCATTGTAAGACAGCAGAGAGGGATCTACAGCCAGGCAGTCCCGTCGGCCGAGGGTCACTCACCTGCATTATTCCAGTTCTCAGCATGGCTGTGTGAACACCAGGAGGACCCCTTCCCATGCCAAGCCCCCTCTCCCTGCCCTATGGGACTCCCCCAGCCTGCCCACCTCCACGCCCGTCCTGCCCCCTGCAGCTATCTGCTTCAAGATGCTCCGGGACCTGAGTGGGTCAGACCCACTGCGCCTGAAATACATCCTGAGGAAAGTGAAGACCATGGCGCACGCATCCCCCAGCCTGGTGCTGGACACCATCCACGACTTCTTCATGGACAACCCACAGGTGGGGTGGGCGCAGGGTCCAGGGAGGGCAGCCCCAGTGCTGCGCCCTCATACGGGCCGAGCGGGTGGGAGGGCAGGGGATCCGTCACCCTCCGGTGGTCTCACAGGGCAGACTGTGGTCCCCATAGGTGGGGAAACAGGCTTGGAGAAGGGGACATTTTCCTCCGAGTCACAGAGTCACATTCGCGGAGGTGGAGAGTGGCCCATCAGAGTTTCCTTGAGAGGATGGGTACATGAAGGAGCTGACTTTGGGCTTTGAAGCTCCGTGAAAGCCTTCCCACCCACCTACCCACCCTAAAGTCAGGAGAAACGTGGATTCTTCTCTCTTGGTAGCAGCTGGTCCAGGGCCTGCACACAGTAGGGCCCAGTGCATGTTCAATGCTGAGTGAATGGCCAAAAGCATCCTTTATTAATCACCCCACCCGCCAACTCGGGTCATGCACAGCCCCATGCTCCTGCTAATCAGCTCACCCCCAGCCTCTGTCCACTCTGCTGCCCGCAGATCACCACCCGGCACAAGTTCCGGCTGTTCCAGGTCCTAGAAACTGTCATCAGAGCCAGCGACTTCCTGGAGGAGACCTGGGAGAAAACCTTCATGCAGCTGGCCCTGGACAACATGACCATGGTCACGGTGGGCTGCCCGCCTGCCCAGCAGGCCCAAGACTCTGGGGCTCCAGGGCCCAAGGAGAGCCAGGCGCCCTGCGGGTGGTTTGCCCAGGGTCTCAGCTGATGCCCTGTATCTGACACCAGCTCCCTCCCCGGGGCCAATTCCTGCCCTCCATTCAGGGGCTGGCGGGGGGGCGGGGGTCCCCTTCCATAGATGGCTTTGTTCATCTGAGGCTGCGGAGCCAGGAAGTGGCCGAGCCCACCTGGTGTCCCTCCCCTGTGGTGGACTCGGGGTTTCCCATCTCCAGCACCTCCCTCCCCACACCTACCACTGCATCCCACCCTCCAGCCCCCATGAGACCCGCTAGCCCAGCGATTCTCAACCTTCCTAATGCCGAGACCCTTTCATACAGTTCCTCATGTTGTGGTGACCCCCCCCACCAACCATAAAATTATTTTCGTTGCTACTTCATCACTGTCATTTTGATACTGTTATGAATTAGGCAACCCCTGTGAAAGGGTCGCTCGACCTCCAAAGAGGTCGCGATCCACAGGTTGAGAACCTCTGTTCTAGCCGGGCCCTAGCTCAGCCCCCAGCTCCCACCTGATGGTCCCTGCTGGCTAACAGTGGAGTAGGTGAGCATCCGACTGCTAGCCACGGGGTTGGCCCGTGAGACGACTCACCGGACGCTCTGTCTCAGCTGGAGAAGGAGGCTGTCTGTTTCTGTAAAGACTTGCAGCCTCTGAAACTCATTGCGGACGGGTCCCCCAGGTTCGCTTGCAGTGGGCACAGTGTGTCTGGGGGAGTGGGGTGGCAGGAAAGCCCTGTGGAAGTCCGGACACATCCTGGACAGGCAGGACGCGGCTCTCCGAGCAGGTGATCTGGCCCCACTTACAGGTGCAGCAACTGAGGCTCGGGCCAGGCACTGCCCAGGAAAGAGCCCCTGCCACAGGGTAACAGATGCCCTCCCCAAATGGGGTCCAAAGACCAGGGACCGAGGCTGCCCTTCACTGCCAGCTGTGGGGCCCCCCTGGCCCCCTCCTACTCACAGGCCTCTCAGAACAGTGGGTGGGCGGCCACCGGCCTGCCTGCCCCACGTGACAGCTGTGTCAACACCTCCCACCCTCCCTGTCTGCCTTGTGTCCCCGAACCTCGGTCCAGGAGCTGGAGGACGTCTTCCAGGACGCGGCCAGCAACGTGCTGGTGGCCATCTGCAAGCACTCGTGGCGGGCGGTGGCCCAACACCTGGAGGCCGAGGTGCTGACCGGCAACTTCCCGCACCGCAGCTTCCTCTACGTGATGGGCACGGTGTCCTCCAGTGGTGGGTACTGGGGGCCGGGCCGGGGCTGAGGGGGTGGGGCGCACATACTAGAGGCCCCACCGCTGCCATGCCACATCCCCCATGCCTTCCCTGCAAGGGGGCCGTGCCGTGCCCTTCCTGTCTGTCACTAGTCCATGGGCCTGGGCAGGGCCACGATGGACCGCGGAGTCCCCAGAGGTGATTAGAGTCCCCCCACCCAAGCTGGGTACCTTCGCCACCTGGCACTGTGCCCATAATCTCTCCCTTGCCTGCATGAGCACATGGCCCCTCCTCTCTGGGAGGCTGCCCACAGCCCCAGGGTCCCCCCAGAGGGCCAGCACTACTCCATTGATGTATTCACTCACTCATTCCTTCACTCTGGACAGCCTGAAGGGGTGGGGGGGGCGGGGGCAACTGGGGAGAGACCACTGCCCTGGTGGCCACCCTGGAGGGCTTTCCTGGAGGAGGCTGCCAAGCAGGAGCCTGAGGGGAGAGGCCTGTGCTTGCCCGAGGGTGGCCGTGGCAGATGCTGAGTGTACCGGGAAGCTGCCAGGCTGTCGGCTGTGCCCCAGCCCCAGGGTCAGCAGTCTGGGTGCAGGCCCCTCAGGGTGAGACTCTGAATTGTCTCCTCAAGCAGCCCTTGGCTCTGAGTGGGGTCTCAAAGCTTTCCAGCCCCACATTGCTCCCCCAGCGCATCTCAAAGGGGTCCCTCCTTGCCCCGTTGTGGAGCCTGAGACCTAGAGGGGCTGAGTGGCAGGCCTGTGGTCACAGCACCCTGTGGGCTGCAGCTCCCTCCTGAAAGTCCGGTTCAGACAATCAGGGCCTCACCCCCACGGAGACTGCCTGGTAGTGTTTTAAGCCAGGAAAGGGGGCAGGGCGGTGCTCCCAGTCTGAGGCCTGGCCTGTGACCCGCTCCCCCTGTCCCCCACAGAGAAGCTGCTGAGCAAGGCTGAGAAGGCATGCTGGGAGGATCTGCTGGCCCAGGTAGGGGTGCATGCAGACCCTGGGAGAGGGTACCTGCAGCAGCCAGCACCCTCAAGAAGGCAGGAGAGGGGGGAATCCCCACCCACAGATAAGCCAGTGGATGCTGCAGGTGGGGACTGGGTTCCTAGGGGTTGGGTGCTAAGCAGCTCATCTAGCACCCAGCAGACCCTCCCACCCAACCCCAGGCCAGCCAGAGCCGAGGCCAGGGAAGTATGGCTGCAGCAGCTGGGGGTGGGGGGAGGGAGGGATAGGGCCACAGCCCACCTCGATGGTCACCCCCAGGGGAGGGGCTGGCCACATGCTGGCAGTGCAGTCCTTCCCAGAAAGGTGTGGAGCTCTGCTTTTGAGAAGTCAGCCGTTGAAACCCCTCTGAACCCAATTATCCACTGAGCACAGGGGCGCTGGAGGCTCCATGCAGTTCTCAGAGGTCTCTGAGCCGAGCATGAGAGGCCAGAGATGCCTCTAGTTTACAACAAAACTCTCAGACAATAAAAGCCTCAAGGAAAGGTGTGTTTTTAATTCCGGCTGCTTCAGGCTTTTGAAAAAGAAACAGCCACTGGGCTGCATATTCCATGAACACTTCCAATGCCACCAACAGCCCAGCCTCACCACCCAAACCCGCCCTGCTGAGCCCAGCCGCTCAACCCCGCGCGTAGGGGCACCTCGGCAAGGCTGCAGCAGAGCCAGGACAGGTTGAGGGTCTTTTGAATTTCTGAACATGCCTTTTGGGTAAGGGGCTGCCGTCTGGGGTCTGTGGAGGCGCACACAGATGTGGGAGCAAGGACAGGGGCTCCAGGGACACCTGCCCTGTGGGCAAGAAAGCCCAGGGAGCGCTCAGGTCCTGCCGTATGCATTGTTAATCAGATAGGCTGGCCGGGAGACAGCCTGGTCCAACAAGCCTTCTGTCGTTTGTGACTGTCGTGGTTGGGTGCCACCGAGTCTGCCCCGACTCACAGCAGCCCTGGGACAACAGAGGGACACATGGCCTGGTCCTGGGCCAGCCTCACAATTGTTATGTTTGAGCCCATGGTCGCAGCCGTGGAGCCCATCCGCCTCGCTGAGGGCCTTCCTCTGTTCTGCTGCCCCTCTGCTTTGCCACGCATGATGTCCTCCAGGGACTGCTCTCTCCTGACAACGTGTCCACTACTTCCATCTCAGGGGCAAAAGGAGCAAGGGCAGGGGGGGAACAGATGGCTCGGCCCACTGGGCATGCCGCAAGCTTGTCTTACCCCAAGGAGGTTGAGAACCACTGCTCTGTAGTCACGCCGTCAGGGGCAGGACTTTCCGGGTACCCTGCTCTGCATTCCTTCCTTCCAAAAACAGGGCGGTGTGCCCACTCTGTGTCTGGGTGCCGGAGACACGGCCAGCCATGGACAGGCAGAGCCTGGCTGGTGGTCCCCACACGCGGCTCACTCTCTCTGAGCAATGGTGTCTCCCAGGGCACCCCGCCAGCAGGCACGTGGGCAGGACTGGCTGCCTCTGACCCAGGCTCTCCAGGAGACCCTCGGGGAAGGCACTGGACTGGATGAGGCCCTGAGGGCTTAGGATCAGTAGGAGGGACTCCGAAGAGGGGAGAGGTCCGGAGGAGGGACACAGGGCTGGGGCGTGTCTGAGAGGCCTCAGCTCTCCACGGCCCAGCCCTGCCCACCTGGTCTGCTAACAGCTCGCTACCAAGTCGGTCCCCTTCCTGAACACGGACATGTGGTCTAAGGAGCTGCTGAAGGTGCTCACCAAGCCCGAGCGGACGCAGCAGGAGCAGCCTCCAGAGAAGGTGGGCCCCTCCCCACAGGGCCTTCAAGCCTGAACCTGGCTCCAGGCAGGTGGGGATGAGGGGCAGGATGAGTGGCCGTCTTAGGAAGTTCAGCACAGCTGGAGCCAGGGAAGGCTGCGGGCTGTGGCGGGGAGGCTGCTCAAAGCAGGGCAGCCTCCTGGGCTGGGTCAGGCTCAGTAGGCCCAACTATCCCTCAGGCCTTCCTGTTCACCTTCTATGGACTGGTCCTTCAGGCTGCAGAGAGCAGCAGCACCGTCCGGACACACCTGCGGGCGCTCCTGGAGACATCCCACCAGTGGCCCAAGCAGAGGGAGGTGAGCCTGGGGGGCCAGGACCAACCACTGCTGGATCTGACAACAGCCTGGGCCTGGATCCTGCTCACACCCTGAGCCCTGATCCTGCTCACACTGAGTTCTGATCCTGCTCACACTCTGAGCCCTAGCCCTGCTCACATTCTGAGCCCTGATCTCAGTCACACACTGAGCCCTGATCCTGGTCACACACTGAGCCCTGATCTTAGTCACCTACTGAGACCTGACCCTGCTTACACACTGAGCCCTGATCCTGGTCACACACTGAGCGCTGACCCTGTTCACACTGACCCCTGATCCTGCTCACACTGAGTTCTGATCCTAGTCACACTCTGAGCCCTACCCTGCTCACAGAGCCCTGACCCTGTTCACACTGAGCCCTGACCCTGCTCACACGAGCCCTGGCCCTGGTCACCCTCTGAGCCCGGATCCTTCTTACCCCCTAACCACACCCATTGCCTATACGCCCTCCCTTTACCCCAGACATATCTCCTGGACTCTCACTCTGATCCCTGGGCAGGTCTGGGATCATAATGATGAGTTGTAGGGAACCCCTTCCACTGGCCTGAGTGACGTATTTGGAAGAGGTCTGGGAGGCGGGTGCCTGTGACCTTGGGTGAGCGCTCCTTGGGCAGCAAGGGGCCAGGCCTGGTCATCCTGTGACATGGCTTCCCCTCAACAGGGCATTGCGCTCACCATGGGACTGGCCTCCACCCACCACCTAGACGATGTCTGGGCTGTCCTGGAGCAGTTTGGTCGGAGTGCACCCATGAAGTGGAGTCTCCACAGCTTCTCCCCAAAGGTGCGAGGCCGGAGATCCTCGGGGACCTCAGAAGGGGCAGGAAGGTCCCTGTCCTCTTCATCCCCCGCCTGCTGGGTGACCCTGTGCATGTCACTCAGCCCCTGCATGCAGCTTCCAACCGGAGTGGGGTGCGCAGAACTGGTACCCCACACAGTCGGCCTTTGGATGCAGGGCCAGAGTTTGCCCAGAGTCTGGTTTGCCATGTGACTTGCTTGAAAGAGGAGACTGGGACAGGAGACCTCCCCCATCCCCGAGGGCCCCCTCTCTGCTCCCTCAAACACCCCCAAGCTGGCTGGATCAGCACCAGAGCAGTGCCATGGGGAGGACAAAGGCAGGAAGGGGGCCCCCAGACTGCCAGGTCTGTTCAGGAGAATGGCCACAGCCAACCACTGAGGGTCCTGCAAGGGTCGGTGGCCTCCTCAGGGCCGCACAGGCAGCATGGACAGAGCAGGGACCAAAACCCCACTCGTGGTCCCTGCAGCTGCCCCCGCCCTGTTCAGCACTCTGGTCTTGGTCAGAGAGGAAACTCCGTGCTCAGCCCCCAAGCCCCAACCTCCTGCCCATCAGGAAGGGAGGAGAGACTTCGGGGAAGGGACCCACAAGACTGGGTAACAGGCTCCAAAGAGCTCCAACAGACCCAGGTTCCCCACATACAGCCCAGCGAGTCCCCTGAAACTGCCTCATCTCATTTCCCTACTTCCCAGTCCCACCAACAGAGTGCTGGGCGTGGGGGTCGTCCCAATGTTCCCACACCGAGGGTCCACAGGGCCCTGATACCCCTGCTCTGCCCCTGCGTGTCCCCTTCACCCCCTGTCATGGCCAGTGCTCAGAGGACTTCCGGTGGAAATGGGCCAGCAGCACCACCCTGCTCACATACGGCCAGATGGCAGCCAAGGCCAAGGACCACATCCTCCCGTGGGTGGACAACATCTTATCCAGGATGATCTTCTACTTCCATTATAGCTCCTGGGTGAGGCACGCCCAGAATCCAGACCCCCTCACCACCTCCCACTGCTCCCGGAAATCTGAAAGCTCTAGTCTATGAGTCAGATGTCAGGCTGGAAACTACTGTAACCCTAGATCAGCAGGTCAGCTAGCAAGCTTCGGGCTGCAGAGGTGAATGAGTCCTAGGTCAGTGGGTGAGGTGGCAGGTGCTGACGACTCCCAGGATACACAGGCAATGTGACAAGCAATGTGACGGGGGGCTGGCTCAGGTTGAAAGAACCGAAGTTCAGGTGATGAACTAGATGCAAGGATCCAGGTGCAACAAAGAGCAGACAGCCTTTCTACAGCATCTATATAGATGGGAAGCAGGCCACAGCCCCAGGAGGACTTCCTTTCCATTGACTGGCTGCTTATAGCATTACGTTGTATTAGATCTCTTCACGAGGGGTTATTGGATCTAAACTGCCAGACCACTGCCAATCCTAGCCCAGTCACATGGGCACAAAATGCTAACATGCCAGGGAAAATTTGTCAGAAATGCCCAGATTTCTAACAAACCCTCTGAGTTCAGAAAGGCCACCAGCTATCCAGCGGATGACCCTGCCCATGCAGTCTCTGACCAGCTCACTTGTTCTAGGATGACACCCTGAAGCAGAGCTTCCTGGCAGCTGTCCTGATGCTAATGGGGGCTGTCCACCGCAACGAGGGTGCCCACAGCTATGCGTTCGCCCAGATCCCCGAGCTCCTGGACTGTCTGATGGTGAGAGCAAAGCCGGGGGCTGCAGAGGGCTCCAGGAGGTAGGGGGAGGGGGAAGCACCCTTCTTCAGCACTCCTGGACAGATAACCCAGGGAAGTGTGGAGTTGGATTTCTGGAGGGTGCCCAACCCCCACACCAGCTTTCTCATTGGGAAACATGCCCAGGTGGCTGAGGGCGGCCCCAAGCCGGCCAGAGGCACCCACCTCACAGCTGCTGAACCCATGCCTGCTGCAAGCACTGGCCTAGCTGGTTACTAGAGAGCTTGGTCAAAGGGAGGTTCGAGGGGAGTGGAGGAGACCACACAGCAGCTGGCCGATGATCCCAGCCAGAGCAGCTCCCATCGCGGAGCCTCCTCTGTGGGCCAGGTACTGGTACCTGCTGCGCACACCTTGCTTTGTGAAAAATAGCATCCTGCCTGATGAGGAAACTGAGCCTCAGAGACACTTGAACACCTGCCAATAGACACATAGCTCGTCCATAATCTGATGGCAAGGTCAAACTCTGATTCTCTAAGGCAGTGGTTCTCAACCTTCCCAATGCCACGACCTTTTAATACAGTTCCTCATGTTGAGGTGACCCCCCCAACCATAAAATTATTTTCGTTGCTACAGCATAACTGTCATTTTGCTACTGTTATGAATCGGGCGACCCCTGTGAAAGGGGCGTTCGACCGCCAAAGGGGTCGTAACCCACAGGTTGAGGAGCGCTGCTGTAAGGGTTGGCCCGGTCATATTGCCCACGGGAGCTTGCAGGCAGGACCCAGTCTGGTGTCAGCAGTGGGACTGACTGTGCACCTGTGATTGCCTGTGCCTGGGCGTTGCAGGTTCTGATGGAGAGGGAGTGCCCTGACACGCTGTGCACGCCAGCACGCCAGCAGGCCATCCACATCGCCTCCAGCCTCTGGTCGGTACCCAGTCCCTTGTCAGGCCTTCCTCCATCTCCGCTCTGACTTGGTGCTTGGGGGCACTGCCAGAGGGGGGGAGAGGTCAGAAGTCATGGCTGTACTGAGTGGGGCAGGCAGGACTGAGCAGCTCATGGAGGCCAGAGTCTGTGATCAGAGACAGAGCCACTGCCCAGGCTGAGCCCAGCCCACAGACACCAGGAGATGCTCCGGGTCACAGTGACCACTGGTGACAAGCCCCTGGCATGGGCAGGGTGTATCCAGCAGGCTCCAGGTGTAGAGAGGCAGCTCAAAGGAAAACTGTGTCTGGGCCCAGTCAGCACCCAGGGGAGGGAGAAAGGGAAGGAGGTGGACTCTGAGGAGCTATCTGTCTGCAGGTGGGGCCAGGGTGCACCTGGCCACCCTGCTGGCCAGGACAGGTGAGGCTGCAGGGATATAGGGTTTCCTGGGGCAGACACTAGGCCCTGGTGTCTTGGGGCTCAGGTCCCAGTCCTGGGGGGAACAGAATGGCCATTGCAGCATTTGAGCCAGACAGAGGTGGGAGGCAGGGTGGCCTCACCTTCCAAAGCCTGCCACAAATCCCCCACAATGACAACCCCACCGGGGGACAGTCCCCATTAAATGACTCAGGGAGTCACTGCTCCAGGCTGCCCTGTGCCCCCCCACCACCAAGAGGAAGGCATAGGGGGTGGGTTTTTAGCGCAGAGGCAGCTTCGCACTGGGTGAGAGCAGAGACACAGGTTCAAATCCCCCTCCACCAGTTCCAGCCCTAAGCTGCCCTACATATTTAGGTCACATGCAGGTTGAGCACCTGGCCTTGCCCAGGGGCCAGTCTGGATGGGAGCACCACAGTCCCCCTGAGCAGACCCTCAGGCAGGGTAGGGACCGGAAGAGCGCACTAAGCATGGACGGTGTCAGGGACGGATGGAGACAACGGGAGCTCGCAGCCAGGATATCCAGGGCCAAGCTCCCCTGAGGGGTCCCTGTCTGGCTGCCAGGCTCCCCCACTGCCCTTCTGTCTGCCCACAGTAAACTGAGGCCCCCGCTGGACCTGGACCAGAAGTCTCGGCTCCTGTCCGTCTGCCTCCGCAGCGTGTTTGCCTTGCCCATGGTGGAGGTCCTAGAGAAGCACACCTGCCTCTATCTGGAGCCACCTGACCCACAGGTGCCCTGCTCACGGCCCCAAGGAGAGGGGCAAGCTCCCAGACAAACCCACAGATCTGGACTGGGACCTTGGGCATGTCCCCTGCCTGTCCTTTGTCCACCCGTGGAATGGAAGTGGGCCCTAGTCGGGGCAGGGGTGGGGCGTGGATCCACTTTGGGCTTCTAACTGCAGGGCCTCAGTTCAAACCCACCAGCCTCTCCAAGGGAGAGAGATGAGGGTTTCGGCTCCTCGAATGAGTTCCAGTTGCTGTAATGCCCAGGGGCGGTTCTGCCCTACAGGGTCACTAGGTTTGGTTTTGGAAGTTTGGGGTGGGGTGAGCGCCATAACTGCCTGAGAAGTTGGCAGTTCAAACCCACCAGCTGCTCTGTGGAAGAAAGGTGAGGCTGTCTGCTCCCCCGGAGACAGCACCCTTGGGAACCCTGGGGGGCAGCTGTGCCCTGCCTTGCATGGTTGCTGTGAGCTGGACGGACGGTGGGTTTGTTTGGGCTCTGGTGGCACAAGTAAGAAGCGCTCCACTGCAAATGGAAAGGCCACCGGTTCAAATCCACCATGGCTCTGTGGGACATAGACTGGTGGTCCACCCCCGTAGCAATGACAGCCCAGCACAACCTGGGGCCATGCAGACGCATGGGGCCGCCAAGAGTCCACACACACACACACACACACACACACACACGCCCCTGAGAGTCCACACTGGCACACAGGCCGCCGGGAGTCGGAATGGACAGCACAGGTGCTAGCAGCAGCAGGTGTCCCTAGGAGCACTCGTGGTTAAGCGCCCGGCAACAAGCCAAAAGATGGCAGGTGCAACCACCCAGGAACACCTCAGTCAGGTCTGGTGACCACCCACTGCCTGGAAAACCGTTCAGCTCTGCACAGGGCTCCGTGCACCCCACCTCCACTGGGCAGCGCAGTCCTCTGCACTGATGCTCGCCCAGGCCCGGGAGATCCAGGTGCAAGGCCCGGGGGAGGAGAATGAGGCGTGCTGGGGGGCTGGCACACTGAGCTTTCCAACCACACGGGTCCCCAGGAGAGGCTGGCCAATGGGTGGGCACCAGGTGGGCAGCCAGGGCCACAAGACATGCTGTGTTAATTGAGCACCTACTAGGTGAGGGGCTGTGTGCTTTTTCATGGAAAGATCTGTTCAAGGAGAGAAGAGCAGGCAGGCAGCAGAGAAATGAGGGGCCTACAGGCCTGGCTCTGCTTAATCGACTGCTTCCCAGGCGAGGGCCAGCACTGTGGGCAGGGTGGGGTGTGGGCAGGAGAGGTGGCTCTGTGGACGGCGAGCACGGGAAGCGAGGCCACTTGTACCGACAGCCAGTGCTTGTGGCTCTGGGCCCTGACCACGCGGTCCTCACAGGTGCTGTACAACAAGACGGTGGGCGCCCTGGACCAGCTGCTGCAGGGCCTGCTCGCGCAGACGCCCACAGCCCAGGAGCTGCACTTCCTGCTGTCAGTGAGTGGGGGCCAGGGCGAGGAACCCAGAGGGGCTGGGAGCACCACCCGGAGGAGTCAGGGCCTGGATTGGGACCCCAGTGGGCAGCCCGGTATAGGGGTCGTGGTGGTTCCGGACAAAAGGGGTGCAGTGGGTTGGACTGAGCAATTGTCCGCCTTGGGCACTACGATTGGCGGGAGAGTGTGCCTTAGTCCGAGAAATGGAAGGCCGAGGGGGGCGGGGCCTGAGCCAAGGTGGGTGGACCCTGGGCCCAGAGGAAGCTAGGCACCCCGTTGGGGGTGGAGCTTTGCTAAGGAGCACAGTCTTCTTCACTGGGTGGAGCCTTGCTTTGGAGCGGAGCCCAGCCCTGCGCTGGGCAGGTCTTGAGTCCAGGTGTGGCCTGAGTTGGGCAGGGCCTGTCGATCTGCATCATGAGCTGGGCTTGGGTCACCCCCGCAGCTCTTCCTGCTGACACCCCCCCGCCCCCGCCCCCGCACCCTGCATCTGGCAGCGCATGTACACATGGCTGATGTCGGAGAAGGCGCACGAGAGGCAGCGCGCGGTGCACAGCTGCACAAACCTCCTCAAGTTCCTGAACCAGCACCTCACCCTGGATGTGAGTCCCAGCCCCTCTTCTGCGGCAGGACCTCCTAGGAGCCTGGCCAGAACTGCCCTTCTCCGGTGCCCCACCCTCCTCAGGGGTCACGGGGCCCAAGGACATGGCTGCTTTCTGAACCTGGTGACACCTGACCTGGTGGCAAGCTTGGTGGCCTATTGCCAAAACACAAAACAGACTCAGCCAGGGAAGACCCCTGCCCTGGGCCTCATGCCGGGCTCTGAAGCCAGGCCGCCCTGACCCTAGAACCTGGTCTCTGCTCTCTGTGCCTGGACACTGAGCAGTACTTCTCCCCCTGAACCTCAGCTTCTCACCAGGAACGTGGGGGCATGACTTCTACTTAGAATGATGAAGTGAGGAGAGGTGGAGGCCCTGCTTCCAGACTAGGGTTGGCTCCTCTTGCTTTGAGCACCCCAGCCCACCCCACCTCAGAGGCCCATCAGACCACAGTCTCACCCTCTGGGGGCTGTCCCTGTTGCCCTTGGGGCCAATGGTAAGCATCAGTGTGTGCCCAGAGTGCGTGGTCCAGCACTGACCACTAATTCCTCCTGGAGGCTCCCAGGACACGGAACCGGTCACCGCCCTGGTGCCAGCAGGCATGCCTGCTCTGAGGACCAGGGCCAGCAAGAGGGTGAGGTAAGTGAGCAGGATTCGGCAAGAGTGCTGCCATCAGCGCCGACTTGTTGCCACCCGGTAGGACAGGGTCGAACTGTTCAGTGGATTTCCAAGGCTAACGCCTGGGTTACAGGAGCACACAGCCTCTCCTTTCTGCTCCGGAGAGCCTCATGGTGTTGAACTGCTGACCTTGTGCTTAGTAGCCCAACGTTTAACCTGCTAGGCCACCAGAGCCCTGGGTGTAGGGTCAGATCCTGTTTGCCCATTTCCATTTTTTAAAACGCTGTGCTGAAATATCATCCTCTCCATTGCTGAGTGATGGCACCCCTTAAATTTTGCACCACACCCTAGGTCCAACCTGCCACTCAGTTCTAGGGAATGCAGTGGGCGTGGTGGTCCCAGGGCCCGGGGATGATGACATGGGTGGTCCCTCTGTCTCTCACTGCAGCCCAAGGAAGAGCTGAGGCAGATGGGACAGCTGCTGGGCATGCTGGGAATTCTGTGTCAAGACCCTGACAAGGCCACCCAGCACTCCAGCCTGGAAGGGGTGGGTCACCTCTGCCTCCTACTCATGCGCCACAAAGGTGAGCCTCAGGGCCACCCCAGTGCACCCCCCAGCCCAAGTGACATCAGCGTGACCCCAGCCCACCCGCCCTCGGCCGGGGGCTCACCTCTAATGACACCTCTAACCCCCCAAATCACTCGCCCAGCTGGGAAAGCATTCAAGCTCAACTCGGGGTCCCCCAAGCATCTCTTGAGCAACGGTGACCTGAAGGAGGCCACTGAGGACGCTCTGGGGCAGAAGCCCCCCAAAGACCACATCTTCAGTCTGGGCAGCTCCCAAGCCACCAAGGTCAAAGCCCCAGTGCCTGGGCTAGTCAAGGGCGGCGGGATGGGGGAGGGGATGTGTGCTCCACTCCCTGGGCCAGTGTCTCCCTGCATCCCATGCATTTGGCTGAGGGCATTTACGGGAGCCCTCACCCCCCACCAGGGCTAGGGCACCGGGATTCAGGATCAGTAGACTCAGCCTTTTCTGCCCTCAGTCTTTCCCTGTACCAAGGACGTCCCGCTGGCTCCTGGGAGGGTCCACAGGAGCAGGGCTGGACATCTTGGCCACTCCACAAAGTGCTTTCGGCCCTCAGGGACCCTAGCCGCTGCTCCCACGAGCGTGACCACATCCACCACCCACCACCACCACCACCACCCCAACCCCCCCCCCCCCCCCACCCCCCACACACACACACACACACAGGCCAGCTTCCCTGCTCCCTCACGGGGGCTGTGACTGCCCGCATCCTACCTCCACCTTGCTATCCTCTGTTTGAGCTCCTTTTCCGGCAGGGGCCCAGGAGTCTGGGGGCTCAGACACTTGGGGGCCCAAGAGTCTGGGGGGCCTCTGGCTGAGGTGAGGTGACCCACACCTCCCGCGGCTCCAGGAGACCATGAAGCACCTCAGCAAACCCGAGCTGACGGAGCTCATCTGGACAGCCATCGACGGTCTGGGCTTGCCCAGCCCCTTCCACGTGCAGGCGGCCGCTGAGATACTGCTGGCAGCCATCCGGGCCCACGGGCCCACGCTGGACACTGTGAGGGGGTGGGGCACTACTCGGATGGGGCAGAGGGAAGGGTCAGTCGTCAGGACTCAGGCCCACGGGCCCAGGGGGTACACCTGGACACAGGCCTGATGGGGAGACAGACTCAGGCCCACCCCAGGCAAGGCTGTACCCCTCCCTCAGACCCTCCCAGAATCGTGTCTTCCCCCTCAGGGCCCCCTAGAGAGAACCAGGTCTGCCCCCTCAGACAGTCCGCCCCAGGGCACAGCCAGCCTCCGCCCTCAGCGGGGCCCTCTCCCTGCCCCCACAGGTTGCCAAGATGGGCCGGGCCATCCACCTAGGACTCCGCTCTGTCCGGGTCCCCCAGGCCAAGGACAGTGTCCTGCAGGCCATCACGCTGATGGCCCGGAGCCACACCACCGAGCTGGTGGCCACCTTCCTGGACTTCTCCATACCTCTGGACAGGTGCCCGGCCCCAGTCTGCCCGCCCACCCCCTTCCTCATACCCGCCTATGCTCTGTCTGTATAGGGGTGGGGCCTCGTCCCAAGCTCTGCCTAGAGCCTGGCCCTCATAGTCCCTGAGACCCCACAGGCAAGGACACCCCCCTACACACACACACACACACACACACACACACACACACACACGCCCAGGTCAGGCTCTGGGGACACAGTGCCGGCCTCGCTTTACCCATCAGTGACCCACACCAGCTGCATCGCTGTGCCCTTCCCCGTGGGCACCCCTCCTGCTGGCCCATTGGCTTCTGTTCACCTGCTCCCCATCCGTCCCCCTCTGTGGCCTCACCTCCCCAAGACCCTGCACTGCAGGTGGTGTCCAGTGCACAGGACATTCCCGTCCTGAGTCCCCATAGCCATGTGTGCCAGACGGAGCCTGCCGCTGCCCAAGCAGCTTGCCAATGCCACACAATGTCCGTCGGTCTGCAGGTCCTTTTTCCCCCACAATGGGCAGACGGACACGTGAGCACTGGCCTTCCACCACGCACGGCATTCACATAGGAAGCGTTTACCCTCTGTCGTGGCTGTTGCTTTTTACTCTCAACCTTTCGATGGCCTCCACCTGCTCCTCTTCATTGCCCTTCCAACCCTCGTTCCAGCCCCTTGGCCGTGACGGCCGTGGCCCCCAAAGGCCCATCTGTGGCCTGGGCGGTGGGAGCTCTTCCCCCTGCTTCCGTGGCGCCACTGGCTAGCGACACACCTCTCTCCTCCTCGGTAGCATCCACGTGTGTGCACGTCCTTTCTCCAGGAATTTCTGTCGGTGAGCCGTCCATTTGATGGCGCTGGTCTCCAGGGACCCCTGGGGTCAGCGGCCCCGGGGCTGCTCTGCTCTGCTTCCGCTGCATCTGCTTCCCTGCCGGCCAGCTTGCTTTCACTCAGGCATCAAAAGCACTGGCCCTGCTGCCTGGCTTGGTTTCCGGGGTCATCTTTATTTGCTTTGCACATTGAGGGAGCACTCGCCAGGCCAGGACCCTTGAAGAACTTTCTCTCTGAAACTGACCCTCTGACTGCGGACGGCTTCCTGCTGAGTCAGTTTTCCCAGAAAACCCCGTGAGTCTTCATCAACATGCAACTCACGTAGGGGGTTGGGGTTTTGTTTTATAATCATGTTATTGGGGATTCTGACAGTTCTTCTAGCCATCCACGCATCCATTGTGTCAGGCACATTGGCACACGTGTTGCCATCATCATTTTCAAAACATTTTCTTTCTACTGGAGCCCGTGGGGTCAGCTCCTCTTTTGTCCCCTCCCTCCCCCAGCCTCCCACCCTTATGAACCCTTGATAAATTATAAACTATTGTTAGTTTCATATCCTACACCGTCCACTCTCTCCCTTCACCCACGTTTCTGTTGTTCATCCTCTGGTTGGGGGGAGGGGTGTTTATCCGTTGATCATTGCAAGTGATTCCCCCTTCCTCTCCCCCCTTCTCCCTGCCCGCATGGTATCGCCACTCCCATTCTTGTTCCTGAGTGTTTATCTGTCTATTCTGGATGCTGTGTGTCGAGAGCTCCTATCTGTACCACTGTACATATTCCAGTCTAGCCAGATTTGTAAGATAGAAATGGGATCATGATAGTGGGGTGGGGGGTGGTAAAGCATTAAAGAACTAGAGGAATGTTGTGTGTTTCATCCGTGCTCTACTGCACCCTGACTGGCTCATCCCTTCCTTGTGACCCTTCTGTGAGGGGATGTCTAATTGTCTACAGATGGGTTTTGGGTCTCCACTCGACCCGCCTCATTCACATGGATATGATTTTTTGTTCTGGGTCTTCTGATGCCTGCTGCCTGATCCCAACGACACCTCGTGATCGCACAGGCTGGTGTGCTTCTTCCACGTGGGCTTTGTCGCTTCTGAGCTTAACTTCAAGCCTTTAAGAGCCCAGACACTATATCTTTTGATAGCTGGGCACCATCAGCTTCCTTCACCACATTTGCTTATGCACCCATTTGTCTTCAGCGATAATGTTGGGAAGGTGAGCATCACAGAATGCCAGGTTATTAGAACAAAGTGTTCTTGCATTGAGGGAGGATTTGAGTACAGACCCAATGTCTGTCTGCTACCTTAATACTTAACATATAAGTATATGCACATAGACCTATATCCCTATCATTATCTATTAATATATTTACATATATACATGCCTATATTTATACCGCTATAAATGCCTTTTGCCTCCTAGTTCTTTCCTATATTTCCTTTTTCTTTCCTCCTGCCCCACCATCATGTTTGACCTTCCTTTAGCTCTCAGTAATTCCTCTTGGCTACATTGCACTTGATCAAACCCCACCAGGCATTCTATGCCCTCCTTGCCATCAATTTTAGATCACTTGTTGTTCCCTGGTCTCTTGGTTTGTTGGCTCCTCCCTCCCTTTCTCCCACCTCCCCCTCTTCCCTGCCCACCCCCAGAACCATCAGTCCCATTATTCTCTCCTTGGGATGGTTTATTTTGCCTATCTAATATAGATAGGCAAGAAGGAAGAGCAGGAGGAGGAAGAGGAAGAAGAAAAGGCCTATTAAAAGTTCCAGGTCTGCCTGCCGACCCTTATGTGTGTTTTCTGCTTGAGTCTGATGAGGTGCCCAGCCCCGCCCTCCGAATCTGAAGTCTGTTTCCGGGATCCCTCAGAATCTCGTGTGTTCGTTTGTTCTGGTTTTCCAGGGGTTCTCTTCCATGTAATCTCAAAGATGAGATCGGAAAGTGTCAGTAAAACCAGAGGCCCTCCCCGGTGGGCTCCCTTGGGAGTCCTTTCCTGGGGACCTCTGCCCTCGCAGAACTATGTGGGTCTGTCCTACTGTTGTTTTCATTCTCAACCCTCCAATGACCTGTGGGGCATCGATGGCCCACCAGCATTCTCAGCCTCTCGAGTTTCTTGGGAAGCTGTTCTCCCAAGAAGCTAAAAGGGAAAAGTTTGCTTGGCATAATTCAAATTGAATGAACTGAAGAAAAAACTCAAACCTCAAGGTGCACTACTGAAGGATTCCATGAACAACACAGCAGTTACCAAAGGGGAATACCCAGAATCACTGTATCAAAAAGGAATGGGTCGACATCCAACCGTTTCAAGAGGTAGCATATGGTCCAGACCTGGTAGCAATTGAAGGAGGAAACTACGCTGCACTGCAGACACTGGTGAAAAGCAGGGGCTCCAGGAACTGACAGAATATCAGTGTGGATGCTTCGACAAATTGTGTCCATGAGCAGATGGGCCAGCAGCTGACAACAGTACAGGCCGCCACCTGGAAGCAGCCTACAGAGCTAACTCAACAGATCTGAAGAAACGAGCCTGACCGGCTGCACCATTCCCAGCTCCAGAGTCCACTTGGGACATAAGTGTCTCTCATAATTACATCCATACCCCCCGTTGCCTCAAAATCCAATTCTCTCCTTGATTTCAGCGTGCGCTCCATGACTGAGAACACATGGTACCAACAGAAGAATTAAAGCAGAAAATCATCTAGAATCCAAAGGGTTAAAGGACCCTTATGTTGTGGGGGGCAGGTGCCCTCGAGTCAGTTCCGACCAATGGCGCCCCGTGTACAACAGAACAAAACTCCGCCCAGGCCTGTGCCCTCCTCTCCAGGATTCCTGCGCCTGAGCCCACTGTTGCAGCCACGGTGCTGATCCGTCTTCTTGAGACCCTTCCTTTGTTCACGGCCCTTCTGCTTCACCAAGCACGGCTCCTTCTCCAAGGACCAGTCTCTGCTGATAGCATGCCCCAAGCTGGCTCTTCTTCCAAGTCTGGTGGGCTGGTGCTTCTGGCAGTCCACAGGACTTAAAAAAACCTTCACCAGCACCATACCAAGCGTGCCATTTCTCCCTCAGTCTTCCTTATTCACGTGCAGGTAAGGTGGGTGGAATAGTGTGGCTTGAACCAGGTACCCTTTAGTCTTCAAAGTCACATCCTTGCTCTTCAACACTTCAAAGAGGTCCTGGGCAACAGATTGGCCAATGCGATATATCCTTTGAGTTCGTGACTGCTGCTGCCATGAATATTGGATGTGGATCCTAGTGGGATGAGATCCTGGACAACTGACCTTCACTCTGCTGATCATGATGCCTCGTGTTTATTTGGTGCCGGTGTGAGGATTTGGGTCTTCTTTACATTGAGCTGCGATCCACAGTGAAGGCTGCGATCCTTGGTCTTCGTCAGCAAGTACTTCAAGCCCTTGCGTTAGGCGAACAAGGTTGTGTTGTCTGCAAGGATGGGTATAAGCCTTCCCCAATTCCTGATGGCACCTTCTTCATAATCTGCAGCCTCTCAACGTATCTGTTCAGCGTACAGAGTGAAGTATTGTGAGGGGAGGCAGCCCTGATGCCCACGTTGCCTGATTTTAAATCACGCGGTGTTTGATCCCGTGTTCTTTCCCACGACGGCCTCTTGGTCCAGGGCCAGGCTCCATGGAGTGAGCACGATGCGGTGGAATTCCCATTCTTCTCACGGCTGTCCAAAGCTCGTTATGATCCACACAGTGGATTCCTTCACATGGTCAGTCAAACACAAGTAAACATCTGCTTGTCCTCTCCACTTTCACCCAAACCCGTCTGAGGCCAGCAGTGCCCTCTTTCCCCGCAGCCTCTTCTGAAGCTTGAGTTGTTGATATTGTCCTGTAATTCCCACACGTTGTTGGGTCACCTTTCTTTGGAATGGACACAGAGATGGACCTCTTCCAGTCAGTCGGCCAGGTAGCTATCTTCCAGATTTCTTGACATAGATGAACACCAAGCTTCCAGGGCTTCATCGGCTTGTTGACGCATGTCCATTGGTATTCCGTCGGCTCCGGGAGCAGCCTTGTTTTTGGCGAAGGCCTCCAGGGAAGCTTGGACTTCTTCGATATCAGCAGGGCTCCATCTATGCTACCTCATGAAGTGGTTTAATGTCGACAATTTCTTTTTGGTGCCGTGAGTGACTCTGTATTTTCTTCCATATTCTTTTGATGCTTCCTGCGTCATTCAGTATTTTGCTCACAGAATCTTTCAATATTGCAGTTCAAAGTTGATTGTTTTTTCTCACTTCAGTTTAAGATGCTAAGCATGTTCTCCTTGTCTGGCTTTTTATCTCCAGTGTTTGCACGTTTTCCTGGCAGTACTTTGTCTTCTCTGGCTGCCCTTGGAAATCAGCTGGTTGGCTTGCCCACGCCTTCATTTCTCCCCTTCACCTGTGTCCAAGAGCAGGTTTCAGAGTCTCTCCTACCTCCACTTCCATCTTTTCCTCCCTTCCCATCTTTCCAATGGCCTGTGTTTTCGGCATGTTGGCTCTTCTTCGGGCCCTACCACAACTCATCAGGTTATCTGCCCTTCGTGTCAATGAGTCTAATATAGCCTTCACATGTTTGGACCTTGGCTCTCATGAACTTGCTTTAATGTTCTGAGGCTTCAACTTGAACTGACATGTGACCAATTGATGTCCTGCTCCACAGTTGGCCAGCCCCAGCCCCATTTGGGCGGCTGAGAGTGAATTTCTCCGTCCTCTCTCCCCGTAGATGTAGTCCATTGGATCCCTGTGTGCTCCCTCTGGGAAGCCCATGTGGTCACCACTGGTGGTGTTGGGAAAAGGTATTTGCCGTGACGGCCTGGGCCTGGCGCGTTCTGGCGTCACTTGTATCACTGAGGCCGTGTTTCTCCAACCACTGTTCCCTCCTCTTTGTTTCCAACTTTCCCCTTCTGACAGCCAATAGTTATCAGTGCGTCTTGATTGCATGTTTGATCCGTTTCAGACTGAAGAGGTTGGCGGGATGGCCTCATTCCTGGCACAGTAGACCGCATGACCATCTGACCCCACATGCCCGGCCCGTTCCACTCACTGATTCACTGATGCCCGGGATAGGGGTCTTGGAGTGTTCCGTTTCATTTGTGAGGACTTTGGGTTTTCCTAAATTCATGCTTCATGCGGTCCACATTCTGATGATGGAAACATGTTTACAGCTCTTCTCGTTTTGAGTCATGCCCTCGGCACATGAAAATCCCCAAAGCATCACTCCATCCACCTCTTCGTGGTCAAACCTTAAGAAGGCAGCTCCTCCGTCAATGTACTTGAGTACTTCTGACCGGAGGGGCTCAGCGCCGGGCACTGAGCTGGCGGCGCTCAGCCACGGTTCAGTGGCTACTCCCTCAGAGACGGACAGCCTCTCCCTTCTTTGGAATCCACGCTTCGTCGGAAGCTTGGCTGAAACCTGTTCACTCTGGGTGACCCTGCTGGTACGGAGAGCCTGGTGGCCTAGCTTCCAGCATCGCAGCTGCAGGCACGCCGCCGCAGGGCAGCGCCGACCGACCGCCGAGTGGTGGAAGGACTCCAGTGGCCCAAACCTCAGTCCTCCTCGTCTCTCCAAGTCCCCTGCTTTCTCTCGGACTCTTCTTCTCTGTCTTACGTTCATTCTCAATCTGCCGGGGCGCTTCTGCCTGTCCCCGAAGCCCATTATTAAGTCCTCATCTGCGTCTTAGCTCCCTCGGGCACCTCGTAATTTTTTCTTCATGCTTGAGATAATTTTGCCTTTTCCTCCATTGCTTTTCTTAGTACAATCAGCTCTCTCTTCTCTTCTGCTTGTCTTCTTTCCGAATGTCTAATTTGGGTGCCTTTTCAGCTTCCAGTGCTGGTTTAAGCATGCTGATTAGAATTGGGGGTGTGGTCTGGCCGTATTAGGTTTTCTCCCTCCTCTTTGTCTTGGGGAGGGGGCAGTGCATATCCACATTCATGGGTACTGACGTTTCTTTTCTGAGTGTTTGTATCAGCTATGTGCATATGTGACTAGAGCGGGTTGTTTGTTTTTTTAAGCAATTTAAGTTCAATAGCACCCTCTTCAGTCCAAAAATTAGTTAAGTGTGTGTGTGTGTGTGTGTGTGTGTGTGTGTCTGGGGCAAATGCGAGGACAAGTGTGTGTGTCTCTGTGTCTGTCTGGGGCAGGTGTGTGTTGTGTGTGTGGCTGGGGCAGGTGTGGGAGGGATGTGGGGGGGGCTGGGGCAGGTGTGGGAGGGATGTGTGTGTTGTGTGTCTGGAATAGGCATGTGTGTTGTGTGTGTCTGGGAAAGGTGTAGGGAGTGTGGGGGGGCAGGTGTGTTGTGTATGTGTCTGTGTGTGTCTGTCTGGGGCAGGTGTGGTGGAGGGACATGTGTGTGTGTGTGTGTGTGTCTGGGGCAGGTCACCCTTAAACCTTAGTCCCAAGAGACCTCTGGCATCCCCTTGAACCAACCAGGGGTCTGGCCCTTTGCAGGTCCCCTCTCTGGGGTCAGACTGGCAACAGCAAACTGAAGGTGAGAGAGGAACTCAGAGGCCAGGGAGTTTATCTTCCTGGGGAAGGGACAGTGCGGGAAAGCGGGGCGAGAATAGTTAGCACAGACCTGTGCGTGCAGAAGCTGTTGACATGGGGCATGTTCGGGTCATAGTCTCAACAATGGAAATAAATCAGGGAACAGCGTTGTTTCGGTGCCCCCTGCTGTGGGCTGGCCCTGGTGCGTGGTGGCCGATGGCCATAGCAGGACTGAGCTCCTGAGGCTGGTCTTGACCTTGGCCTTCCCAGACTAGATCTCTGGGCCTTTCTTTCATGGGTGTGTTTGAACGACCAACCTCGGGTGAGTGCTGCTGTGTTGGTAGGTCCGCTCATAGTGACCAGCCTACAAAGGACCCTCGCCCTCCTCCCGGGGGCTGCCGTCTTGTCCGGCCTTCTCCTTGGGGGCCTTCCTCCGTGGGTGACCCTCTGCCATATCAGGCCTGATGTCCTTCTCCAGCAATGGACCCTCCGGATGACAGTGCTCACTATTTGTGCCCCCAGGGAGGGCTCTCTCTCAGGGTCCTTACAGAGACTACGGGGTCCCTCTTGCGCCCATCCTGTGAAACGCGCCTCAGGTTGTGCTTTTGGTAGAAGGCCAGGGGAGTCGGGCTCCTCTCGGTCCCCCCGCCCTTCCCCGCCCATCACGTTCTGAGTATTTGTTGATTGCCTCCGTGTGATCACGCTCCGTCCGTCTTCCCACGGCTGTTGGAGAGCAGCTGGACGCCTGGTTAACCGGCTTCTTGGTCGAGTTTTCTGATCCACTTGTCTACGCTTTTCCAAGGCCGCGTCAGGAGGTGGGCATTTAGCAGGCGCCGTTGTCCTTAGACCTGCTGTCCAGGTGTCTTGCAGTGGTACTGAGACCTGCTCTCTGTCCCCACTCCCGGGCATCGCTGTGTGCCCCATCCGCAGGGGCATCGGGTTATAGAGCTGCTCTCGGCATGTCACCTGGGGCACTCCCACCACCTGGAAAGCCACGTGGCTGTGCCAGCTTGAGGGCCACCTGGCAGTATGCGCTCAGACCGCTGCCCGGGTCAAGTCCTCCAGAGAGCGCCCCTTCCTCCCTAGGCTTGCCTGGACTGAGGTCGTCGGTTCAAGTCCCCCTCTCCACAGAGAGTTAGACCTCATCTTGCAGCACCGTGTGGATCTGAGCTGCTCGGCCTGTGTGCTCTGGGCCCAGGCTGCTCTTCCAGCCTGCCCCGGTGCTGGGCAGCCTTCCACCCTCCCGGCATCTGGTCCAGCTTCGCCCAGGATGTGACACCCACAGCCCCATCCTCCTCCTGCTGTAACTGTCCCCTGGGGCACCTCTAACGAGACAAAAGCGTGCCTTCTCACACCCAGGAGGCTAGGGCACCACTCGGGGGGATGGGGTGCCACTCGGGGATGGCTTCTCATCCCCCCCCCCCCCGCGGGCCCAGGGCTTGGGAGTGATGGTGCATGTTCTGAAGAACAGTTCAGCCTGCGCCAGGGCTCCCTATGGCCATTGGGAGCGGCCTCTCTGGGGCCCTGGGCGCACATGCACTCACTGTCTGTGCTGGGTGCATCTTGGAGGGGCGTCCCGATCTCCATACTCTTGGGGTCACTCCCACGAGCTCGTCCATGCTGGGGGAGCGGCAGTGCATGAACGCCCAGCAAGGACCCTGTAGCTGGAAGCCCAGCCCTTCGCAGACAGCCTCCACCTCACTGTGCAGTCAGGGGTCTCAGGCCCAGAGAGGGTCCGTGGCTGGCCAAAGGTCACACAGCCAGCAAAGGCAGACCTGGGATTTAAGGCCAGGCCTCTCTGGCTCCAAAGGCCTGCTTTTCCCAGGAGGAGTGCCCCCAGAACCCACAGACCCAGGGTCATGTGGGACAAGGGAGGGGCTCCTGCAGGGCCCCAAAGGGCTCCCAGGCCCACACCCTCTCCACAACCCCCTGGGCCCCTTGGCCCAGCTTGTGCCCTCCAGTCAGTTCAGGCCCACAGCCACCTCATGCACAACAGAACGGACCCCTGCCCCGGCCCGTGCCATCCTCACCACTGTGCCTATGTCCCAGCCCACGGTGCCAGTCCGTCTTGTGCAGGGCCTCCTCTCCGTCACTGCCCCCACCTCACCAAGCATCAGGTCCTTCTCTGGCGACCGGACTCTCCTGACAATGTGTCCACAGTACTCTGGGGCCCAAAGACCACTTAGGGTGAGGGATCAGGGCAACCGAAGCCCACCCCGCCTCACGGGACTCAGGGTGATGCCCCTGGAGCAGGGGGAACTGTAGGGTGGGCAGCCCTGGCCTCTGTCCAGCTCCCTGGTTCCTGCAGGACCCCAGGCAGGGCACATCCCCTGGCCATCAGCCATCTCCTTGGCTGTACAAACCTCGAGGAGCCCCAGGTGACCCTGGACTTGACTTACCTGGGCTGGGCTGGGCAAGGCAGGGGGCCCCAGAGCCTGAGAGAGGTGGTCAGGGAAGGCTTCCAGAAGGAAGCAGTGACCACTGGGCTGAGGGAGCAACCGAGGATTGAGGGGGAGGGGTGGAAGAGCCCGTGTTGAGGTGCAGAATGCAGAGCAAGTGGATGGAGGGACCCTGCCTTGTGCTGAGTGGGAGGGGGCAGGGACAGGCCAGAAGTGGTCCAGCCCCTCCTGCCCTCACACCACCCTGTCCACTGCAGCCACGCCTCCCGGTTGTGGAGGGCCATGGGCATTGATGTGCCCCTGAGCCAGCACGTGCTGGCCATTCTGCTGACGGTGCTGCAGGAGCGGCCTCTGCCTGCCACAACGGGAGAGGAGGGCGGCTCCCAACCCAAGGACAAGACCTACTTGCGCTCGCTGGCCGTGAGTCTGCCCGCCCCCACCCCCATCCACCTTCTGGTTAGGCCCTGGAAGGGGGACTCCATTTCCAGCTTCTTATGCCCAGCAGGCCAGAAGGACAGGGCCTGCAGCAGGGAGCATTGGCAGGGAGGCCAGTGGGGACTCCAGAGAGTTGGTGGGGGGCGGGGGGTACACAGCAGGAGGGGCCGGTGGACATTGGGTCTAGTCCTTGAGAACAGTGGAGGCCTGGGGAGCTTCTGAGCAGGGGAAGTGGACCAGAGGCATGGCTGGGAGACACATGCAGACACCCCTACACGCATGCCATGCATACACACACTCATGCACACCTGCACCATGCCCATGAGTGCAGTTCATACACAGTCACACTCATACACACATTCATATTCAAAAACATGCACACATGCATAAACACACCTACACACTCCCTGTCCACAAGTCATGAACATGGTCCACGAGGTATTGTTTGCACACATGGTCACATGGTCACACTCACATGCTTACAGTCACATACACACATGCTCACACATATACACATGTTCACGTGCATGCATGCTCACACTTACGTACACACATGCTCACACATATACACATGTTCACGTGCATGCATGCTCACACTTACGTACACACATGCATAAACACACCCACGCACTCCCTGTCCACAAGTCATGAACATGGTCCATGAGGTAGTTTGCATACATGCTCACACTCACATTCACACATGCTCATACACATGCTTACACACGTGAACACATGCTCACACTCACAACGTGCACCTGCTTTCACACGTGCACACAGACCGGTACCCGCCCTGCCTGCAGGCCATGAATACGCTCCACGAACTGCAGTTTGCCCGGGAGTACAGAGTGGCAGTGCAGGAGGCCTACCCCGAGCTCCTGCTGGCCCTGCTGAGCCAGGTGCTGTACGTCCTGCAGCTGGACCTGCCCCAGGAGCCGCAGCCCCACCCGGGGGCCCAGGAGAACTGGCCCAGTCCCCAGAGGTCAGCCAGGAAGCAGGGAAACTGGGCCAGGGTGGGCAGCAGTGCCAGCCCCCAGCAGCCTACATCGTGGGCAGCCTCCCCCATGTGGCCTTCCTCCAAGGGGCCTTTGAGAGGCCTGTTAGCCTATTGTCCATCTTCCCACTTTACAGACATGCAAACTGAGGCTTCTGGGCCCCAGGAGTGTCCATGCAAAGCTTACCTAGCACCCCCATGCCACCCCAGGCACCCTAGTGGTCCCCAGCTGTGTGGGAGCCGCAGGCCATGAGGCGCTGCCTGCATGGTCCATGTCCAGCCGCAGGCCATGAGGGGCTGCCTGCATGGTCCGTGTCCACCGCCAGGTCTAAGTTTGAGAAATCCAGTCAGAATTCCTTGACAGCCGCTGGGCCAGCGCCCTGGTGGTTCACTCTGTGAGGTGCTCCACACCCCATCGGCGTTTGTCAGCCCAACTGCTCTGAGGGCTGGTCTCCATCCCTTCTCCCTGCCTCACATCCCTCGCTGTGTTCTGAGCAACCAAGCAAAGACCATGAATCTTCCCTAATGAGCTAACAAAAGTCCTCCCACAACTGAGGGGGTGAGGCGAGCTAAGGGTGGGCGGAGGGGCTGCCTGAGCCTGTCGCCCCCCCACCCAGCAAGCCCAAATCAGCGCCTATCGTGCCTGCTTACACAGCCCCTCCTGCTCCCTCCAGGTCCCCATGAGGCCCGAGAGTCCCCTCCCCACCTGACCCACCCCCTATCTGCACAGTTGCCCCACTCTCTGGAGCCCCGCCCCCACCCCCTACCCCCAGAGTCTCACCCTGCAAGTGTCTGCTCAGAGTCCACTGGGAGTTCTCTCAGCTGCCGGGCCACCGAGACATGTGCCTGTCCCTCCCCTGCTCTGGTCCCTCCACAACCTGAGCCCCTCAGCCTTGCTCTCTACTGGGCTATGTGCTCTCATAGAAGGGGTGCCCGGACACAGGGCATCTGTGTGCCTGTCTCACTCAACCCCAGCCCCCCAGTAAACCCAACGCCAGTTGCCAGGGAGTGGACGTGACTCCTGGCCAGCCTGGGTGCTGGGGAGTGGGCGTGACCCCTGCCAGCCAGGGTATCTGGGCACTTCGGTGGCCAAGTTCCCATAGATCTCCAGGCCTTTCTTCCTAACTGCCTCCGGGTGGGTTAAGCATCAAGTCTTGAGTCAGCAACCACACACAGTCACGTGTGCCCCCATTTCAGGGTCACTCTCCCTAGGTCCTGTGGTAACCCGGAGACCCCCTTCTCTCTGTCCCAGTGTGCTCTGAGCCTGGGCCTAAGGGGTCCCAAAGGCCCCTCTTGCTTCGACCTGCAACCCTAACAAATCTGCCTCTGGGGTCCCCCACCAGTGCTCACAGGGTGGCCCTGGGCAGCCAAGTGCTGGAGCAGGAATATGGCCTCCAACGTGGGAACGGCGGTGGCCCCGTGGCCCCAGGCAGGCCTGACTCCCCGCCATGTCCACCCACAGCACATCATTGGAGGCGCTCAAGAGCCTCCTGTCCACCACTGGCCACTGGCATGACTTCGCCCACCTGGAGTTGCAGGGGGCCTGGGAGCTGTTCACCACCATGCCCACCTACCCACAGGGCGTGGGCCTCCTCGCCAGGTACGGTCATCTCTGCCCCAGTCTCTCCTGGGGTTGCCTGGAATCTGGGGGCCCCAGGGCTGGCCTGAGACCACAGCAGGCAGGCTCAGCACGTGTACCCACTCAGAACAACCCTCAGCCCCTCACCCCACCCCAGCCTGGACCTGCTCGCAGGGGGCCAGCTGCAGCCCAGGCCTGTCCCTGCCTTGCTCCCCAGGGCCATGGTGCAGAACCACTGCTCACAGATCAAGGCCGTGCTGGACCAGCTGCTGCCCAACCTGCAGTGCAAGGAAGAGCGTGAGAGGAAGGTGGCCTTGCTCATCCTCATGGAGGTACGGCAGCCTGCGCCCAGCCCGGCCGGGCCTCCACCGGCCTCAGCTGGAGAAGAGCCAGCAGGATTCCCAGCCCTGCCCCCAAGCATGGGGGGGAGGGGGGCACCAAGGCAGAGCCCTGCAGCCAGGCTGTGAACCTATGTGGGCCTTGCTGTGTGACACACACCCCCACCCCCACCCAGCCTCTGCTTCCCCAGCTGGTCTCAGAAGGGGGAGCCAGCCTGGGAGTGGGTTTCAGCAGCAGGAATCAAGATCCCCAGAGAGTGAGGGTCTGCCGCCCTCTGGAGCCCCTGGCCAGACGCCCTTGGCCAGGTGCTGGGACTGACCACTACCTGGGGGCCCAGTTCCTCTACAGCCCCATCCTGCTGGAGGCCCTTCCCACGCAGGGGGCTCTGATGGTGCTGGCTCGAGGCTTGAGGGACCCCAGCGCCGAGGTGCGGGTGTGGAGCCTGCAGGGCCTGGCCAACATTCTCTTCCACCCCGAGAAGGTGAGAGGAGGGCCAGATGCTCCAGCAGGGTCAGGTGGTGGCCAGCCACGCAGACCGGCACTGGGAGGCCTCTGGGAACAGAGGAGCGGGCTGGGGCTTGGTCTCCACAAGTGGAATGTAGGCTGGCAGCCATGGTAGGACCCCAGGGAGGTGAAGGGGTCTGAGCCCGTGGGCGGGGAGGGAGCTTCAATGCTGGGCATCAGAGGGCAGAGGCTGGAAGGGTCCAAATCAGCTCCTAAAACAGCTGATGGCAGAGGGCTGTCCGGCTCACCGACTTCCCTCCAAGGACACAGACCCTCTGTTCAACATCGGAATTCATCCCCACCCAACCACACCTCCCCTCCCAGCAGCCCCTCGGGATACTGGGTGTGCAGCTCGGTGAGACGAGTGGAGTGGAGGTGGTTAGGTGAGAATGAATTCCGATGTTGAACAGAGAAGGGCCAGTGATAGCCGAGAGGCCTGAAGCCACCACCAGGTGGACCTTTTAAGCTGAGGGCAGCTGACTGGTCTTGGCCTTGTCCAATCCCTGGTCCCACCTGCCCCCACTGGGCCCCTCTCCTTCTCCCACCCCCAGGACAGTGTGAGCCCGTGGGAAAGCGGGGAGATCATGCCCCTGGGGGCTTGACAAGGGGCCCCTGGGACTCCTGTGGGCCCAAGGGGACCCCCAGCTCCTGGTGGGCAGCACAGTGGCCCCTCCAGGCTCCCCGAGCTGGTGGTGGACAGCACCGCTCCCCACAACAGGCATAAGCAGGGGCCCCTCCACCTGTGGGTGCAGGAGCAGCAAATGCAGTCTGGAGGGTGCCTGAGCAACCAGTTTTGGCCCCTCACTGCCACCCCCACCCGGTGCCTGCCCCCAGGGGAGCCTGCTCCTCCGCCAGCTGCCGCCCTTCCTGGCCGGCTTCTTCCAGGACAGTGAGCAAGTAGTGGTGCGTGTGATGGGCACCGTGTCGGACATGCTTCACCGCCTGGGCAGGCTGGGCGCCGGCACCCAGGGCCTCAACATCGCCATTAATGCCCGCTCCTTCTTCGATGACGTGAGCACACGCCGGCAGGCGGGCAGGGAGCAGCCCCCACCCCGGAGCCTTTCAGAAGGCTAGCTGGACCCTGGCCACCCTCCTGCCATAGGCAGGGGACAGAGGCTGGGGACGGGTCCGCCAGGCAGTGCCCTGGGCCTGGTCTGGGCGTTGACCACGGGCCTCGAGCTTCCCTGGGACAGCCATTCGGGACGGCTGTGCCCTCAGGGTGACACTGGGGGGACAGACCCTGCACCGGCTTCAGGATGGCCTGTGGCGGGAGAAATGTAATGCGGGGCTGTCCCTACATCCTCCCTGGGGAGAGGCAGGACACCCCCATATCCAGTCTGAGGGGGAAGCACGCCCCATCTCCAGGGTCCAGTTGGAGGAGGAGGCACAGCCCGACTTGGGAACGCTGTCTGAGTAGGGGGTAGGCCCTCCCCCAAATCCGGTCTGAAGGAGGAGCACACCCCATCCTCAGGGTCCAGTCTGAGGGGAGGCACAGCACACTATAGAGTCCTATCTGGGGTGCGAGGTTCTCCCCAGGAGCCCAGGGCTGGGAGAGAGGTCCTGCGGTGGCTGGACGGGCTGGACCCAAGGGTCTGGCTCTGAGCCCCCACCTTGCAGGAGCGTGACGGGATCCGCACAGCTGCCATGGCGCTGTTTGGGGACCTGGTGACGGCCATGGTGGGTCACGAGCTGGGCGGGCTGCGAGCCCAGGTCTACCAGAGCCTGGTGTCCCTGCTGCTGCACCTGAAGGACCACTGCCCAGCTGTGGCCACGGTCAGTGCCTCAGCGGCAAGGCAGGCCAGAGGCTCTGACCCGAGGGGCAGGGCCTGCTAGGGAGCTGGGGCTTCGGGGTGGACTGGCACACAGCAAGGGGAGTGCCCACGGTGGACGGGTGCTCCATGGGGCAGTGGGTCCCACCCAGGTCCTGCGTGGCCCTCCCACAGTATGCGCACACACACACACACACTCCAACTGTACCACCAGGTGCCAAGTCCTGGGGGAACTGTTCACACATGCCCCCCCCCTGGAGCAGTGCCCACACCCATGCTGAGATGACAACTCACTAGAGCCACCAGCTTCCCGGCTCCAGCCTGAGGGAGCAGGGCCAAGGGCATCCAGCCCCACCTGAAACTAGGGCTGCCCGCGCTGGGTCTTCCATGGGAAGATTGGGTGTGGGGGTTGGCAGGGAGATGGTGCTGCCCTCAGTCCACCTGTGTGAGTGGGGGAGGGTCTGAGTTCCTGCCCGCAGTCGGCTGGAGAGCAGGGTGGGGATGGGGGGATGGGGGGCTGGCTCTGCAGCCTGGGAGGAAGTCTGGAAGGTTCCGCGGGACAATGGGGTCCGAGCTGAGGGTGGAGCGGGGAGGGCCCTCCAGGTCCCGAGGCGGGAAGGGCCACGGGGCTGTGCCTGCGGGGCGGTGACCCTCAGTTGTCCCCGTAGCAGGCCAAGTTCGCCTTCTACCGCTGCGCGGTGCTGCTGCGCTGGCGTCTGCGTCACACGCTATACTGCACACTGGCCTGGGAGCAGGGCCTCAGCGCCCGCCACTTCCTGTGGAGCTGCCTGGTGAGGCGGGGGCGGGGCG